ATTACTTGAAACATTCTGTCAATTGGTCAATTTTTAACATATTGTGTGAATTAACATTTGAGTAGAGAAAACATTTCAGAAATCTCAATGTTTGAAGGGGTTTTATTCAAGAACATTTATAAAAGAAAAAACTCAGTTTCTCACATGAAAAAAGGCAAGTTTTTTTAAAATAATACACTTGTTTTTTCTTAAAACAATTATCCACATGAATAAGTTTCTCACATGAAAAAAGGCAAGTTTTTTTTAAATAATACACTTGTTTTTTCTTAAAACAATTATCCACATGAATACATTTCCTGGCACATATATATTTTCAATTGTTTTGCATCATCTGAAGAAGCATGTTCCCTTGTTCTTTTGTTTAGGGGAGAGCAGTCTTTTGTGGGTTAGTTGCAATCTTAGTATCAGATTTTTTTTTCTGCCAGTTGAATCTGAAATATGTCTTCATCTATAGAATGAAATGTCTGTTTCTACTTGGTTGTAAAGTTTATTAAACTAAAATAGGTTAGGTAAGCTGCATCCAGAATGTTTCTTTATACTGAAAATAATGTTACCAGTTTTTTAATTTACAAATTACCCTGTAATAGGTGACAAAAACCTGAAGATATGATATATCAATAAATTTGATACCTTTTTATATATCTATATATTTAATTTTATTAATTATTAATTAATATACTATAATAAAACACTATATTACATTTATATGATTAGATTATATATTATTTTAATTAATTATATTCAATTTTCTTATTTATATTATGTATTATTTTAAATTATATATTATTTATATGATATTATTTTAAAATATTGTAATATTTTATAGTAAATATCTAAATGAATAATATTTATATTATTTTACATTATTCATACATATAATTTATAATATAATTAATTTTATTAATTTATATTTCTTATGTTTCATACATCTCATTGTTTGTCATATTCTTCTATAACTGCTTCTCCAGGCAAACTAGCTGCAATCTCCTGCATCCTAATTTCCTTTTGGAACATCATCTGAAAGCAAAGATGGAAAACCACAGCAGGATGAGCGAGTTCGTGTTGGTGGGGCTCAGATCCCATGCAGGACCCCAAGTCCTGCTCTCTGTTCTCTTCTCCACCATGTACTTTGTCACTGTGGTGGGGAACGTCTGCATGGTGCTCACCATCAGGATGGACCCCAACCTGCACACCCCAATGTACTTCTTCCTGGAGAACTTGTCCGCCTTGGACATCTGCTACTCCTCTGTCATCACTCCCAGGGCAGCACTGGCATTCTTGCTGGGCAGGAGGAGCATTTCCTATGCTGGCTGTGCTTCACAGATGTTCTTCTTCTCTCTCTTTGGCACAACAGAAGCTTTCTTCCTCGCTGTCATGGCTTACGACCGCTTCACCGCCGTCTGCAACCCGCTGCTCTACCAGGTCGTTATGAGCAGGAGGCTTTGTGTGCTCATGGTGCTGGGCTCTTATCTGTCAGGCTGCATCAACTGCACCATCCAGACAGGCTTCACCTTCAGCCTCTCCTTTTGTGGGCACAGAGAAATAAACCACTTCTTCTGTGAAGTTGCTGCAGTGATCCACGCCTCCTGTTCCGACACGTTTGTCAATGAACTCGTCATGCTGGCCGTGTGTGGCCCAATAATTGTGGGCACTGCCCTGGTGGTTTTTGTCTCCTATGGTTATATAGCCATCACAATCATCCAAATGCCTTCAGCTGAGAGCAGGCACCAGGCCTTCTCCACCTGCTCTTCTCACATGGTGACGATCTGCTTGTTCTTTGGGACAGTGTTCTTCATGTATGCTCAGCCTGGAGCTGCATCCTCCCCCAGCAAAAGCAACACCATCTCCATCTTCTACACCGTTGTTATTCCCATGCTGAACCCTTTCATTTACACTCTCCGAAACAGGGAGGTAAAAGGCTCTCTGAAAAAACAGTTAAAAAGGAAAGGGTTTTTTTAGCACCTTTCCTGAAGTTGAGAATGAACTCGGTGTCAAATTTGTAAAATAAAGGACAGAACGTTAAAAAAAAATACATCAGGACCTGCTTTCAAGAGTCTTTTGTGTCTCTAGATGGTCAGTAAAAGCAGGAAACATTGAATAAATCAATGTAGTAGCTTTATTTCAACTAAACAATTTTTGATAGGATGTAGGATATCCTTCAATGGACAATATGTTTGATCTTTATGAAATTATTTCATAAGTTTACATCTATTACACTGAAATCATTGATGCTTACACATAAAACCAGAATAAAAATAAGAATTTAAAAGTAAGAATTTAAGTAAAACTGTTAAATGGCTGACCACAGTGACACACAATCCTGACATCTTCTTTTATATTATTGTGGACAACTAAAAAGTATCTCTTTTTTCTTATTCTTCTCTGACTAGCTTTATTCCTTTTCTAGAGCAGATGAAAGTGAGGTTTCGTTTAACCACAATTAGACACAATCCATCTGACCTGTAATTTAGAGGCCTCTTATACCAGCATTTTAAAGCCATAATTAACACTATTGGATTGGACAATTTGAAGAGTACCTAAGAGTACTGAACACGTAAAATAGGACACAAACTCAGATTCTGGCAGCACCTTATTTCTGTGCATTGGAACACAGCCAGCTCAGGTGGAGGCAGCCTCACTCTGCACATCACAGCTAAATTCAGACAAGAGTGAAGCACAGAGATGAGTCTTCCTGTGCAAATAACTCTTTAAGTCTCAAATTTCCAAGTTGGCTCCTCATAGAAAACCCATTTCTTCCTTGCTTAGCCCCAGGACATGGCACTTTCATAGAGCTGGTGGCCAGAGGGATAAGGAGAGCTGTGGTGAAGGGAGACACCACTCCTGGAAGTCCTCAAAAGGAGACTGGGCATGGCACTTGGTGCTGTGATTTAGCCCACATGGTGGAGTTCAGTCAAACACAACCATCCTGGAGGTCTTTTCCAACCCTAAAGGTTCTGTGACTGAGTGACAGACTGGGCCTGGGGGAAGGATGATGGATGGATGA